GTCCCTGCCCAGGCCTACGGCCTCTGGCCTAGGCATCCGGCCCTGGCAGCAGGGACCTGCAGTGGCAGCGGGGGGCACCGCGATCGCATGGGCTCCGCCCCTGCCCCTGCAGGATGCCTCTGGCTGAGGCGTCCGGCCTGGGCAGCGGGGACCCGCAGCTGCAGTGGCCCTGCGATCGTGGGCTCCGCTTTAGGCCCAGGCAAGGGACCCCTAGCTCCCGGGACTGCCAGCTTTGACCCTGCCCAGCTCCCATCGCTGGCCCCACCCCTACTTCCTGCTATCACTGGCCAGGGCAGCAAAGGCACCTGATTCTCCGATCATGGCTGAGGGGCAGGGCAAAGGCGGCCCCAGGGCCACCTTTGCCCTGCCCCCCAGCTCTTAGCTCCCCACTGGGTTTCCGATCACTGTCAGTGGCAGGGGGCTTCTTACTGCTTTCCCTTTCACCTCCCTGCATTGTGCCTACATATGCAAATTAACCGCCATCTTGTTAGCAGTTAACTGCCAATCTTAGTTGGCAGTTAATTTGCATATAGCCCTGATTAGCCAATGAAAAGGGTATTGGTCGTATGCCAATTACCATTTTTGTCTTTTATTAGATAGGATTCTGTTTTATGTATTTACCACATTTTGTTCATGGATAAACATTTGGGTTATTTCTAAGTTTTAGCTTTATGGATAACACTGCTATGGACATTCATGTACAAGTATTTATTTGAGTTCTTGTTTTCAATTCTACTAGGAATGGAATTGCTGAGTCATATGGTAAACCTGTATTTAACTTTCTAAGGAACCACCAAACTGTATTCCATAGTGGCTACACCATTTTACATTCCTAGTAACAATTTATGGCTGAGAATCCAATGTCTTTAAATCTTTGCCAGTGTTTACTGACTTTTTTATTCTAACCCTCCTAGTGCATATGAACTGGTATTTTATTGTGGTTTTTATTTGCATTTCCCTAATGACTAATGGTGTTGAGTATCTTTATATGTGCTTGTTGGCCATGTGCATACCTTTGTGGGAGGAATTTCTAGTCAAGTCCTTGGCCCATTTTTTAATTAGGTTGTTTTGCTTTTTATTATTGAGTTGTAGGGGTTCTTTATGTATTTCAGATACTGGACCCTTATCAGATATGTGATTTGTAAATATTTTCTTCCATTTTATATGTTGTCTTTTCACTTTCTTGATATCCTTTGACAAAAGTTTTTAATTTTCATGAAATTCAGTTTATTTTGTCTTTGGTTGTGTGTTCTTTTAGTGTCATATATAGGAATCCATTGTCAAATGCAAAATCATTAATATTTACACTTAGGTTTTCTTCTCAGAGTTGTATAGTTTTAGCTCTTATGTTTAGGTCTTTGACCCGTTTTCAGTTGATTTTTATATATTAAATGTATAATATGCTTGTGGAAATCCAGTTGTTCCAGCACTTGATTTAAGGGATTATTGTTTCCCAGTTAAATGGTCTGGGCCCCCTTGTTGAAAATTGACCATATATTGTTTTATCTGGACTCTTAGTGCTCTTCCATTGATCTGTGTATCTCTGTCCTTATACCAGTACCACATTATTTTGATCGCTGTAACTTTGTAGTAAGTTTTAAAATGGGAAAGTGGGAATCCTTTAACTTTATTCTTTTTTTTTTTCAACATCATTTTGACTATTCAGAACCCCTTGTGATTTTGTATGAATTTGAGTATCAGCTTTTCCATTTCTGCAGGAAAGGCTATTGGAATTTTAGTAAGGATTTCATTGAATCTAAAGATTGGGTAATTTTGCCATCTTAACTATATTTAATATTCCAGCTCATGAACACAGGGTGTCTTTTCTTTTACTTAGATTATATTAGTCTTAGTTGGGCTCCATAACAAAATACTATAGACTGGATGGCTTAAACAACAGAAATTTGTTTTCTCACAGTTTTGGAGGCTAGAAGTCCATGCATGACCAGCAAATTCAGTTTTTAGTGATACCTCTCTTCCTGGCTTGTGCCAAAGAGGGGGTGTTGGGGGGCATGTGCACAAGCTCTGGTATTTTTTACAAAGACACCAGTTATTTTGGATTAGAGCCCCATCTTTATGACCTCATTTAAAAACTTAATTACCTTCATACGGGACCTATATCCAGATACAGCCACACAGGGGTTACGGCTTCCACATGTGAATTTGGGGTTGGGGAGACACAGTTCAGTCTATAACAGTGATGGCGAACCTATGACAGCGTGTCAGGTGACATGCGAACTCATTTTTTTTGGTTGATTTTTCTTTGTTAAATGGCATTTAAATATATAAAATAAATATCAAAAATATAAGGCTTTGTTTTACTATGGTTGCAAATACCAAAAAATTTCTATATGTGACACGGCACCAGAGTTAAGTTTGGGTTTTTCAAAATGCTGACACGCCGAGCTCAAAAGGTTCGCCATCACTAGTCTATAACATAGTTCTTCTTAAATCTCAGCAATGTTTTACAGTTTTCTGTGTGCAAGTCTTTCACCTCGTTAGTTAAATTTTTCTCTAGGTATTTTTTATTTTGGAAGCTAGTATAAATGAAATTATTTTCTTAGTTTTTAATTTGTTCATTGCTATTGTATAGAAACACAGCTGGTCTTTGTGTATTGATGTAGCTTTGCTTAATTCATTCAAATATAGTGGAGATTTTTTTTTTTTTTTTTACAATTTTCTATTTGTAAGATCATCTCATTTGTGCAATTGTTTGACTTCTTTCTTTCTGATTTGTTTTGGTTGGGTTTTTTGTTGTGTTTTGTTGTTTGTTTGTTTGTTGTTGGGGTTTTTTTGTTTGTTTGTTTTGATGTTTTTTTTGCCTAGTTGGCTCTGGCTAAAGCTTCCAGCAAAATGTTGAATGGAAGTGGCATAGTGGGAATCTCTGCCCTGTTCTTGATCTTAGGAGTATGATATTAGCTGTGGGGTCTTCATAAATGCCCTTGATCTCTTTAAAGAAGTTCCATTTTGCATTGGAATTATATGCAAATTGTATGGTCAGAGGGTACAGATCCACAAGACTGCCTTCACTTCAGGTCAACTGGCTACAAACTTGTGGTCCCAAAAACTACTCTGTTTTAATAATTCACTAGAGGGACTCAGCTCCAAACAGCACTGTACATATGATTACAGTGTTATTATAGTAAAAGCATACAAATTTGAACCAATCAAAGGAGGTGATGCATTGGGCATAATCTGAGAGAGATCCAAACATGGAGATTTCAGCCAGTCATTGTCTCCTCAAAGTTTAAAAGTACAGAGTATTTGCTGGCTAGGAAAGCTCACCCAAGTCTTTGGTATCCAGAGTTTTCCTGGCTGCTCAATCACATACTGCCTTCCTGGTGGCGGACCTTTAGTCTCCACCTTCCTAAGGTTTACACTAATACCTTTAGTCTCACATTGTTAGACTTCCTGTGGCCAAAACCCCAGGCAAACAAAGACACTGCTATCAGTCAGGACATTCAGGGGCTAGAGCAGCCGTGGGCAAACTGCAGGCGGGATCCGGCCAGTTTGAAATGAATAAAACTAAAAAAAAAAAAAAAACCATACCCTTTTATGTAATGATGGTTACTTTGAATTTATATTAGTTCACACAAACACTCCATCCATGCTTTTGTTCCAGCCCTCCGGTCCAGTTTAAGAACCCATGTGGCCCTCGAGTCAAAAAGTTTGCCCACCCCTGGGCTAGAGGTTACCTATCACTGAGGGCGAAAGCCAGACCTCTCTTTACATTAAGATTAATTTTTTACCACATACCTTTTACTCCAAGTTTAAGTGCTTTTATTATGAAAAGATGTTGGATTTTGTTAAATGCATTTCTGCATCAATTGAAGTGATCATGTTTGGCTTTCCTTGAATCAATGTGATATATTAAATTGATTCATTTTGTACATTGAGCACTTGCATTCCTGGGATCAAATCCCACTTTAGTCATAATGTATAAACCTTTTAATATGCTCTTGGGATGATTTTGCTGAGAATTTGTACATCTGTGTTCATAAGTGATACTGCTGTGTAGATTTATTTTTTAATGATGTCTGTCAGAATTTGATGTCAAGGTAATGCTGGCCTCAGAATGAGTTAGAAACTGTTCTTTCCTCATCTGTTTTTTGAAAGAGTTTAAGAAGGATTGATGTTAATTCTTAATTAAATGATTGGTAGAATTTCCCTTTTTTTGAGATTTTCATTATTCATTCGCTCTCTTTACTTGTTATGGGTATGTTCAGGTTTTGTGTTTGTTGAGTCAGTTGTGGTAATATTGTGTATTTTTAGGAACTTCTTTTTTTCATCTAAATGATCTAATTTGT